AGGTTATGAGTAGGTTATATGAACAGATCTGATTAACTCGTGATGTGGAGCAGAAGAGGCAAGTTAATAGATCTCAGTTTCCTGTGAAACTAGATTTTCAAGATGTATTGCAAAATGTACTCCTTATGTTTCTACATTGACTACTCAAACAAGGGAATATAGAAAAGGAACCAGATTTGTCATTTGTCTACACTGCATAATTTTCATCCAACACAACTAATATGTGTTTTGCAAAAATACAGACACATGGTGACTCAGCCCCACTAGAAATGATGCGATCTGGACTGTGGATCAAAGATCAGGTAGCTCAGGACTTGGTTCTATGGAAAAATGAGAAAGATTCATTTATCAAGTTCTATTAGGTGATGATTGACTGCAGATCATGCATCACTATGCAAGTTCCAAGCGATATTCAGATATACAGTCACAACCCAGAGACACAAGTAATGACTCCTGTGTTGTACGTTGTAACAGTACAACAACAACAACATAGCCTTTCAGTCCCAAGCAAGTTGGGGTAGGCTATTTGTACGTTGTAACAGTAAATTCAAAAATTTAAAACAACAAAACCTACCTGTTCTAGTATAGTTAAGAGCTTCTTAGACTTGTCTGGCAGATCACTTAGGCGAATAGCTGCAATATCTAGTGCAGCCCTCCCAGCAAGAGGCAAGTCTGCATTCTCATCAGCAGCTGCTGCAGGTGATTTATCCAGGCTTGAGCCAAAGCCAGAAACAGAAAAGTTTGTTCCAATCCTGGCAAGTGTAGCTCTTAAAGAAGCTTCAAAGACTGAGGTTCTGCTAGTTAGGCAATCAGCAACTGTAAGAATCTGCAAAGCACCTTGGACAATAGACCATTCTTCCTCTTCAGAAACATCCACCAATCGTTGTACTTCCTTTTTCTCTAAACCTACATCTTTCTTCAAGGCATCACTATCCAGTCCACAGACTATCCTCAGGGACTTCAATGTTTCTTGGAGATTAGATATGTACTGCAGCATGACGTCATCAAGAGCCAGTACCAGTTCATCTGCCTCTGAACCGCCAGTCAGAATAATGCATCTCTCCACAGCTGCCTCAAGAAGTACTATCATTTGTGGAATGGATTCCTCCATTCTGCGGACAGTTTCGCTCAGCTCTATACCCTGTGCACCAACACCACGAGGGACAGCCCCACGGATGTCTATACCTGCCATCTCAGCAGAGAGTATAGCACGCTCCATCTGCCCATACCTACATGACGCCCAATAAAAAGACATGCAGCACCAAACGATTACTACCATCCATCAGTTGCATCAAAGAAATCTCATAAATGCAGCTGGTAACGAGATGCAAAACAATGTTTTTCTTTGGTGGTTGTGTTTGCAATCTGCATTGACCAACTGATTTAAGCTTTTACCTTGCTTTAAAGGTTTCATATGGGGAATAAATAGCTTTCAAAGTATTCAGCACAACTGCAAGATCTGATTCTGAAAATAAGTGCTGAATGTTCCTAGCAAAAGTGCCAGTCATATTGTGCAGTTCAATTAGCGCTTGAAGATGCTTATTCTGCAACTTAGTGCTTTTTGGTAAGTCACCTGATAGAACATCCAATATACCTGGGTACAGAGAAGAAAAATACAATTCACTGTTAGGAAAAACAAGTAAGATTAAGCAACAAAGCTAATAGCTTGTTAAAGCAGAAAAATATATGTGATAAAACCATGGGATAGATGTAGGTCAATATGAAATTAATGAACAGTTTATGCATTACCTTTGGCAACAGATCTGGTTTCAGGAACAACATCGCCAGTTGCTATATTTACACGAGAGACAAAGCCTGAATTCAACTCACTCATGGTCTCAGTAAGTACTTTTGGTACTAGTGATTTGTATTCTTCAGGAAAAGCAGTCAAGCACCTGTGAGCATCACCATTTCCATTTTAGAGCATCCACGGGCTAAATTGCAGTTCTGATGGAGCAAAAGAAGAGTTCTCTTTTTTTGTCTAAACAATGTATTTTCTTCATTATGCCAGATATTACTTAGGGGCTGATTCTAAAAACTAACTTCTGATTAACCACTTTACAACTAGTACTAGGTATATTTTAACTAAGAGCGAAGGAGGAGATCACCATGAACATACCACTTCCACTCTTGTTCAAGGTAAAGCAGTGTCTCATCATAGAAATTAGGCAGCCAGCTAGAGAATGAGAGGCCACAAATGCTTTCGCCACCGAGCTTCTCCATGTCTAGCCTGCTGGATCTTTGCTTTAGATCAAAATCTTCCCAGAGTTTCTTTAGAGGCTTAACATGGATCTTAGTGTATTGCGCCTCCAGCGACTTGAACCTATTGATACGTATCAGTATACCACGAAGGTCTTGCACAGCATCAACCTTCCAAGAAAGAAACAGGTTCTGAGTAAAATAGATATGCTTCATGTAACAAATACAAACTACTGTTTTGTGGGGGGATATACCTTGCGATTAGAAAGCGCATCTACTAAACGAGGCTGCACCATTTCATCTAGCCGCTCTTCCAATACTTCAAGTTGTTTTCTAACATTTGCAAACTCGGCAACCTGAAAGAAACCGTCTTATAAGCAAAACGAACAGGCTGTGTATGCAGCTCATAGTTTTTTGCAGGGAGTATGACACCTCTCCAACTGCTGACAAGCAATGTCTCATAGTTGCCAGGGTTTCTGCAGCTTTTGGAAGATTGCCACTAGAAAACACATCCTCAACACTCTGGCTCAACTGTGCTAACCCAGCAGCATCCTGCCATTCCATCAAACAAACTCTTAAAAATAATAAACAAGAATTTACCACATTAGTAAAACAATACTCCAGTGGTGTGTCATGGTCTACAACTTTAGATAGACCTTACCTGCAATGTTGTGTATGCAGCTTCCATGCGCTGTTTCACAGTATCAATTCGTGCTAGTGCAGCTATCGATTCTGCAGATGATCCCTCAGCCTGGTTGGAAATATAACCATGAATAGTTTGTTAGTTGCCGCCTTGGCAAAATGTAGCTGGAACAGAATACAGTATAATAACAAGATGGAGTGAGCTTGGGCAGCGGGATAGGCTGCGACCCCTGAGAGATTAGTATAGTGTACAAGAAAGGTTCTCTCATGGTCACACCACTGGAGGGCAAGATTTTATTTTCCTTGCATCTTGTTGTACTGGAATTTTATCATCTGAAGTATGTAAACATTACTACAACTCCATGGCTCTTCACTTTTTTTGGCAAGCAAAATAGAGTTTTATGCAGATCACCTCTGAATCTGAATGTCTGAATTGCTCTTAATTTTAATTCTTACATTACGCTCAAGTTTGTAAGTAATTAAAATGACAATATCCTAAATTAGTCCACATGCAACTAATGCAACTATGTCAGAGTGTAGCTTAGTTTCACAAACCCCGGAGGCCCGGAACATTTTGAGATCAACTTTTAACTAGTAGCAAAATGGGGCAATGAAACCTGAACATAAACTGATCAAACTAAATGACTCAGTCGTGAATTTCGTACTACTTGTAAGCTACAATTGTACTCATGTTGTATCCAAGGCGAAAGCCCACACAGATAAAAAAACGACTTGACTAGACACGGAATGCGAGATCCAGATCCATCTGAACTATACGTGCGAAGAAACTACGCGCGGTAAGCTATTCCAGAGCTCCAATCAATCCGTCTCGATTTCGCGTAATAAACGAACGGGAGTGCGAGTGAGATCCAGATCCAATAAGGAGCAAGCCACAGGGACGGAGGCGCGTACCAGGGAGAGGGACTGGAGGACGGAGGCGAGGTGGGAGCGCAGGGCGACGGCGTCGTCGCGGAGGCGTAGCGCATCGCGGCATGCCAGCGGGACGCGGCGGAGGGCGTCGCCGCTGTCCCTCTCGAGCGCGGCCGCGGCGTCGTCGGCCGCGGAACGCAGGCGCTCCTCGGCGTCGGCGAGGAAGCGATCGAGAGGCGCCGACGGGTGCCGCGCGTCCAGCGCCGCGTTGATCCACCGCTTCGGGTCGAAGCCCTCCGCCCCGAACTCCGACGCGTCCACCACCACCATTTCCGATGCACGCCGGGACACCGCGCGGGTTCCCTTCACTGTCCTCTCTGTCTCGGCTCCTCGGATGGCTTCACTGCAGGGGACGAAGGCGTGGAGGTGTTACGTGAAGGGCTTTGTACGTTTGAGGTTGGAGGAGTGTAGGGTCTGCTGCTGTTGTTGTTGGTTTTTATTTTATTTTATTTTATTAACAAAGGAGTGTACCTGTGTAGGGTCTGTTTGGTTGACTTTTCTTATATCTAATTAAAAATTATGGCAAGCCAAAATTTAGGTTTGTTAAAATTAAGGTTTGCTAAAGTAAGAGCAAAAAACATAGATGTGCATTAAAAATACTAGAAAGCACTTTTCTTTCTTATATTCAGTTTATAAGAAGTTTTTAGAGACTTGCTAAAACTTTGATCATAAACATTGATATGCTAATTCCTTGGCAATGAACTAATTGTTGACTAAAAGTTCTGGCTTATCATGATTTTGATTGTGCAAGAAAACCAACCAAGCAAGCCCGTAGTCTGTTTTTTGGGGAAAACTTTTTTTTTTCATTTTCAGTCCTAAACAGTAAACAAAGCACGTAGGAAAATTATACATTAAGAGTGCTACGTAGACACAATTCTGACGTGGATGGGGTCCTTTTTTTTCCTGGAACACGTAACAAAATTTCGAGCTGTTTTGCAGCTCATAATAGAGGCCATCATCTGCTCTCGGCAGCAGAGAACACTACCAGAGTATAGTTTCACAGGCATCAGCATTAGATACAAAGAGTTGTATGCTCCGTACATACATACAAGACAAAAAGATGCCGAGGGCCTACGAAGTGGAATATATAGCAAGGCTTAGCCTAAACCACAGTTGACCGGCACACTAACATGCAAAAGAGCATACAATACAACTGATCACCATTCAATGACGATTAGTAATTTAGTCCTAGTTTCTTCATCAGAACGGCCAAATTCAGCCGCTGCGAGTCAGTGGGTACTACCCCCAGCGAGGAATGGATCAGGAATAGCAGCAGGATCCAACTCATAGAAGCCACAGAGCGTGCCACCCTTTTCTTTTGTCAGTTGGAAAGAGGGTATCCGGTGAGAAAACCGCAAGTCATCTTTTGTTGGCACCTCCAGGATACCCCTCTCATTGTCTGGCCTGAATACAGTTCTGTAGCCATCAACCTGAGTCAGAAACAAGACTTTCGTGCTAGCTTCAGTGCGCGCAGTTATCGCGCCAATGGCATATTCACAGGCATCCTTACTGGAAGGAACCCAGCCAGGTGACCAATTGCAGTAGATCGCCCAAATCTCCCCTACTTGTGGGTGAATTTCAAAGTGCCGCGTTGAACGTGTTTCTACTACATGAGAGAATGCACCATTTGTGTCATACTTGATACTCCAGTAACGGATTTTAAATGTCCCACAGCTCACAGGTACGTCATGCTCTAACCACATATTTTCCTGTTCTGATCGAGGGCATGCTTCCAGCCAAGTCAGATGCACTCCAAACGGATGTAGATCAACTTGTGAAACCCAGCCATAGTATTTTGGAAGTTTATCAAAATCACTGTAAAGAGCCCATATCTGGCCTCGTGCAAACTTAGTATTCGACCGGCCTTCTTCAAAGTTGTAGAATACTGTTTTTGGATACATCAAAATAATGGGGGATCAGCAGCCTTGCAGAGCAGAAGAATCAGGCACACAAGAATCAAGAGTAACTGTTGGAAATGCTACGTCCAAGTTACTAGGAAGCGATACGGTATCTAGTTTAAGAAACCCACTAGGGACGCCAACCTTCTCATTTCCTGTTCTGAAAAATGGGATACTGTGGGAAAACCGAAGTAGATCACTCGATGGTATAACAAATGATGATTTATCCTTTGCTTGTGCAAACAGACTCACAAAACTTTCAACCCTGACCAAGGGGATAACAGTGACACCAGCTTCCATTGTAAAGTTTGAAAGGACCTCCACCACTTCATACTCATAGGATCTATGATTGTCTGCATCTGAGATCCACTGCATACTCCAGCCCTTATAAAGAGCCCATACCTCACCCTTACTTGGATGTATTACATAAGAACCCCTTGTTCTGCCTTTAGCCCATGAAACAATGTGAGAAAACATGAGGGGATGTTGTGACTCTTGTGTGTTTCCTCCTAACTTAAAGTTCCCACAAGCCACAGGAAGTTCATTATAAGTCCAATTGTCCTCATCATCATTCACTGCATAGTGTTCCAGCCAAGTGAACCGAACTCTGAAGTTGGTAGTATCAAGATGTCTAATTCTAGCATAATATCTTGGCATGGCATCAAAGTCATCATAAAGTGCCCATATCTGATTAACTGCAAACAGTTTGACATCCCTACACTTTCCGAAGTCAAAAAATTCCGAGTCAGGGTATGTGAAGCTCCCAGCATTGCAAGGCTTCCCAGCAGGTGTATCACAAGTTCTTTTATTGTTTCTTTTATTGCCTTCATTGACAGTACAACTTTTATCTTGATTATCTGTTTTGCTGTAGACATGACATTCACTAATTTGTCCATCAGCATGGGCAACATTATCAGCAAACACTTCATTAGAACCGCAGGCAGCATTTGAGGACCAATCTTTCAGCGTCCGACTCTTTTTCTTTGGAGAGTTAAGAGTGTTGTTGGCATCAACATATGCCTTTCTCCTAAAACATCTCTCATGGAGTAGGGATTCCTGCAGCACCTGGCACTGCTGATGTATCCACCCCACTACTTAGGTTTTTCCCATCACCAAAATATGGTACAGTGGTGTCAGTTTGCATCCTTCCATCTGCCCTATCATTTCCATTTGGTGCAGATGCTTTAGAAGGATTTGTTGCAGAAAATTCAACTCCTTTCCGACTTGTCTCTGTATGATCAACCATACCTTCACCACCTGGTTTTGAACTCCTCTTCATTTGTTCATCACATTGTGCTGCATTCATCACAGGACTTGTCTCTTTGTTCTCTCTAGAAGAGAGATTTGTAGAACAGCCTTGTTGAGTAGGAAGACAGCCCTGTTGCCCATCACTATTTGCTGTTTTTGATGAGAATACAGAAGTCACATCCTCTGTACTTATCTGGTATGCAAAGAATTTTTGCCTGCAGTTCCGACAACGGATCTGAAGATTAAGTATGTTGCCATGGTACTTATATTTTCTTTTACAGTGGATGCATATGGTCCAAAATGCACACCCATCAGTTGGTGATGAATCTGATGGTCCGTATCTTGCTGTGTTACTTCTATTTGCATCGGTTCTGTTAATCGGCTCTGTAGTCTTCATTGGTTGTGTAGCCTGCTTTGGCTGTGCAGGCCGTTCTGATTCCTCAGCCAGATTAGGTTGTGTAGCCTGCTTTGGTTTTGCAGCCTGTTTCGGTTGTGTAGCCTGATTTGGTTGTGTAACCCGAGTTGGTTCTGCAGCCTGTGTTGGTTGTGTAGCCTGCTTTGGTGCAATTTTGAAAGCAACCCTCCATTTGACATCATATACATGTCGTTTTGTTTGATCAGCCAATGTTGAGTATGCTTCTGCAACAAACTTCAAAGCAGAATCTGCACCAGCATAACTGTTTTTATCAGGGTCAAGTAAGAGAACAAGCTTACAAAACTGCTTCCTTATGGTCATCTCATCCGCTGTTCCTTCTACTTGGAGAATTCCATAAAAGTCCAATATCCCATTTACCTTTGCTTCTGCTGCACAGTGTACTTCACAGACAGTTAACAGCTGGGGTATGTTCTCGACCTCTAGAAAAACCCTCTGTGCTTTAAGGGCAATCCTTTTAGCACCAGCAAAGTCTCTGTTTTCCAACTTCTTAGCAGCAATTTCCATGGCCTTCAAGGCCTCTTCTCTGCTGCACTCCATTGTACTGATTACGGAATTGGTTCCCAACAATCCAACATCAATCGCTGTCACACAAAATATTACCCACACAAGGCTTCCAGGCTCTTTCTTAAACCATCCAAAAAGTATATGAACACCTTGAATAGGTTTACTTCTCTCCAATGCAGATAGAGCCTATGGCATGGTTAATGGTTAGGTCAGAAGCAGAGATCACTGTGTAGGTGGCTAATGCAGACCATGCACGTGCAGCGATTCTCCAGATGAAGCAGCCTGAGAGACAAGACAATCAGAAATCAGGATAAAATAGTACTCCCTAAGTCGTTCTAGCTAGGTCCATTGCTTTTGCTACGCACGTATTAAAAACAATGTATCTAGAAAAGTCAGAACCACTTACAATTTGGAATGGAGTAGGAATTTTACACATTGCAATTACATCATATAAACAGACTTGATGAGTTTTTTTTTCTAACTTCCTTCCCTACCCATGCAGGATTCCAAAAGGAGTTATTAAGGGCATGTTTGAGACTGCTCTGCTCCAACTTTTGCAGCTCTGCTCCCAACTTCGCTAGCCACACAGGTCAGCTCCGCAAACTCCACTCCAGGAAAAAAAGTGGAGTTGAGGGCTAACTCCACGTTTTTTGCGGACCTCCTCAAGGAGTACTCTACAAACTCTACTTATGAACTTTCTCGTGGAGTTGGGGTAAAATTCCCCACCGCTGACACTAATTACACAACATACCCCTTCACTTTCTTTCTCACCAACGCCCCCCCTGAATCTTTGCCCTCTGCACCACCTCCTCCAACCCTACTGGTGCCGCTCGAAATCTGGCGATCACGGGCTCTCCACATGCGAGTTGATGACCAGGATAGATGGATCTGGTGATGCTCAGCCAGATGAACTCCTTTTTCCTCACAAATCCTCCCCTCTGCCGCATCTATCTACAAACCTCAGCTCGCCTTCGCTGCTGCAATTGGTCATCAATGGGGCCCTCCGCTGGGGTCGAGGGCCGCCCTCCCCTGGCCATTCAGCAAGCGCCGCCAGCTGCTGGTGGCCCATCCTCCGGCCTGCCGCAGCACCCTGCTGCTTGGCCTGGCGAGGCCCCAGCCAGCCACGGTCTCCCAGGGCATGGCCATAGGCAGTCAGGCCACTTGCCAAGGCCGGCCAGGGGTTGGCGCTGACCAGCCGCCACCGTGCAAGGTTAGTTCAATGTCAGGTGTGCGGCAATGATTACTGCAGGCAAGAGTGGATTCAATAGAGTTCTCCTTTACAGGCTCATGTGGCATTGCATATCTAGTTACGCTAAGCGATTTTCTTATCTAGCACATTTGTGTTGTTTATGCACCACTGATGGCATTGATAGAACAGACTGAAATAAAATTTTGGCAAACACTAACAGGGCACTATATGGTCTCAAATTGAGTATGTATCGGTATTGGTTGATATTGTAATTCCTTGTATGCCAAAGGATCGAACAATTAATCTCGTTTGTTGCAAATCAGGACTATACGCATGCTGAATGTCTGCAGTGTGTCAGAAGCTGATGTGATAGGCTGAGGGTTTAATTAGTCACTTATCCTCCTATGTTTTTTTATCTAATGCTGACCAATTTCATAACTTTCATTTTGATATCAATCAGTTCTGTATTTTAGTGCTCAAATAACTGAGATATGTGCTGCATTATGAATATTTCTAATTCTATTGCAAGCCTTTGAAATTCTTTTTTAACAGGACTCTAGATTTTCATATGGTCAAAGGATGAAGTACAAGATCTCATCACAAGAAAGTTCACTATTTTGATATCATTTGTATTTTATTTTGGTCAGAAAAATTGTATCATATAGAATCATTGAATACAACATCTGTGTCATTTTCTTCTCTGTATAGAATGTAGGCTTGCTTAATCGACACCTCCCCAGCAGACACCGCATAGAGCGGGAGCTCTCTCTGGCACGCCTCTTTTAAAAAAAATATTATTATGATATATGGTACTATGAACAACGAGTTGCTTGTTTGTGTAATTGATGTTAATAAAATGTATTAATTGTTTTTTACCCTCGTTTTTTAACTAAATTAGTTGCAATTACAATATTTCATATCATATTTCAATTAGTAAAGAAAATGGACACTTGCATGTACAAACATCAAAATATATACCAAACATCGTTCAGGGGCGTATTAGACCTTTCCCAGCTAAACCTCCCATTCCTAGAGCTGAAGTCGGGCTATGTGCCAAATAGGCGCATCTGCTCCAGTGTAGAGCTGCAATTCCATGGTGGAGTTGGTGGGGCAGAACTCCAAAAAAACGGAGCAGGGCAGTCCCAAAAGCGCACGCTTCAGCACGCTCAGTCGCTACGCGGACGGGCCACGCGTGGCACATAAGCGCTCCCAAAGCGGCGCGACCGTTTCAGGAGCGGAGGCGAGAAAAGCGCCGCAGAAGCGAGCGACTTGCCGCGAGACAGCCACTCGGCGGCAGCGGCAGGGCCGCGGGGGCTGCGCGGGAGCTCTATTTGCCCGAGGGGAAGGCTGTACGGGAGCTTGACTTGCGCGCTCGAGCGACCACACGGGAAGACAAATTCTACGGGCGGAGCGGTAGGGGACAAAAGCGGAAGACAATGGAGTGGGATAGGGTTAGGGAACGAGACCTGCGCCGCCACCGCCGGACATGAGGTCGAGCTCGTCGGCCTCCAGTCTTCTGCTGTGCACTCACATGCCGCGACTCCGAGGCCCGAGCTACTCCCTTTCCTGCATCTCGTGGTCGCCACACCGACCTCCGGCGTCCCTCTTCACGTCTACTTGATGCGGCGGCGGTGGCGGAGAGGTGTGGAGTGGAAGTGGAACAGAAAAGAGTGCGGGGCCCACAAAGAATGGAGGGAGTTTCGCGGTTTCGCCTGGAGATGGAGAGGGAACGAGGGTCCCCACTAAAAATATAAAAATATAATAATTTTCCACTCGGGCGTTGCGCCACTTCGGCTTTCGCGGCTTTTGCCCGCGGCCGCTATTTTCGGTCGTTTCTCCGCGAGCAGCGCGCAAGGCCCGGAACTCGGAACTCGCCGGCGAACCGCATCCGCCTCGAATCCGCTCGTCTTGGGCCCATACAGTGTCCGTAGTACTAATCTGGGCCTTCTGCTGCTGGGTTTAAGTTTGGACTTGTATTGTGTCATTCGGTGAAGGAACGAGGATGGGGAAGTCCAACACGTCGTTTTTCTAAGAAAAAAGTCAACATTACCTCCCTCGGTTTCCGCGAAAGTCCATTTTTCCTCTCTAAACTCTAAAATCAGACAAAATACCTCCCACAACTTTTAAAGCCGTTCATCTTACCTCCCGGCCCTGTTATAAGCAGTTTTGAAGACGGTTTTGTCTTTATTTATTTATTTTGGCTGAATCTTTGAAAAATCATAGTAAATCAAAAACAACATAAAATGGAAAATCCAATTTTGTTGGACTCCACATGAGTAGATCTACACAGTGAACATATAATATGGTATGCATTAGTACAAAGTTTTTGCTGTGGCTTTAGATCTATATTTTTTTTAATTAATTGGAATAATTCATAGCTGCAGTTCTATGGTCCAATTGTGATGAAATTTTTGTGGTGAGCTAATTATTATATGATTGAATTATACTAAAAATTTCATACTCATTGGATCATGTATGGCTTAGTTGTAGATTTATTTATATTTAACAAGTATAAACCTAAATAAAATCTATAACTAAGTTATAAATGATCCAATGAGTATGAAATTTTTACTACAGTTTAAGCATACAATAATTAGCCCACCATAAAAAAATTCACCACAATTGGACCATAAAACTGCAGTTATGAATTATTCTATTTAATTACAGAAAAGCATAGATCTAAAGTTACAGCAAAAATTTTGTACTAAATCATACCATATTATATATTCACTGTGTAGATCTACTCATGTAGAGTCCAACAAAATTAAATTTTCTATTTTATGATTTTTCTGTGATTTACTATGATTTTTCAAAGATTTAGACAAAATAAATAAAAAAGAAAAAGACAAAACCACCTTCAAAATTGCTTATAACCGAGCCAGGGGTAAGATGAACGGTTTTAAAAGTTGAGGGAGGGGTTTTGCCTAGTTTTAAAGTTCAAGGAGAAAAAACAGGCTTTCGCAAAAATTAAGAGAGTTAATAAGAACTTCCTTTTTTCTAAGTTGGGTTGCTTGAGCTTCTTTAGACAACTGGGCTCAAAAAGCCCATCACGGAACTGGCCTGCTATTGGCATTGGAGTCGTGGGAGAGCGCGTCCAGATGGTTCCAGAGGCTGCTGGTGGGGCTGAACGCGAAACTCCGCCAGACCCGCCGCCACGGCCTCTCGTGCGCAGCGCGTTGCCATGGCCCGTAAGCCGTGACGCAACCCTCCGTTGCCCACGATAAAAGCTCCACCCCTGGCCCCCAACTTCCCCTACCCATCAGTCTCCTCCCCCCGATCACAATCGCGAGATTTTTGCACCATCGGCACGCAGACGAACAAGCAAGGCTCTCCCGATCGGATCGTCAAGGTACACGTTCCCTCGATTCGTCCCCCTCCTTTCTCGATTTGTCTGTATGCGTGTATGGTCGATTCCCGATTATATGATGGTCGATTCTCGATTTTGCCTTACGAAAATTCATGTAGATTGTTCATATGTTCTATGTTCCCTTGAGGTTCTAGGTTGATCGGATCGATTTGACCCAGTTATATCCCCTCATCCGATCAGCTCTGTTTTTATTTCAGTATACCTAAGTATCTAGGGTTCACCGAGTGGTTACTACGAATTGTTTCTTGCTGAGTTCAGTTGTTGCCGTCCATAATGTAACAACAAAGAAATCAACACACCAAAAATCACAACTACAAAATTTTTCTTAAAACTCCCATGTGATGATGAGTGACATTGTAGGAGCCAACCCTAAGAGTTGCATTAGAAGTAACCCAACCTAAGTCAACACATAAGCATGGCATATCATTTGTTGATTATGATTAGTAAATTTCCAACAAATAACATGTTGCATACATT